GCAGTGCAAGAGTGGAAGGATGTTGCCCTGCAGGTGTCGCACCTCAGCCAGACTGAGTTGGAGCAGCTCCAGGAGCACACCAACGTGTGGGTCGACCGCGCCCAGGGGCGCTCATTAGTCAAGTCACGCCAAGCCTTCATGGACTGGGCTAAGCAGATGTGGGCTAAGAGGCCAGGTGCTATTCATCGACACGTTCGTGCTCCTCCTCCTGACCCACTACCGCGTGAGATCATCTTGGATGGAGTGGACACTGCAGACCCCTGTGTACTCATTCGCACGAAGAAGGACTTTTGGCAGGGAGTTTGGCAGGAGGACAATGACAGCAGGGAGCACTTGCTTTGGACCTTGGAAGGATTGGCCAGGGATGCTCGCGAAGACCCCTTGCCACCACTGAATGAAGGACAGATTGAATCGATACTCAGACGACAATCACCGAACAAAGCGAGAGGAGTTGATGGCTTGGGCCCAGTTGATCTTCAACGTATGCCTCAAGATGGACTTACGGAGCTCACGTGTATCCTCAATCAAGCGGAGCTGCTGCAAACGTGGCCGACAGCGTGGTTAGCTACGATTTGTGCGGTTATTCCGAAGCCAGCTGGAGGCACGAGAGTACTTGGAATGTTACCGCAATGTTGCAAGACGTGGAGCCAGGCGCGCAGTTCGGTCACCTCCAGCTGGTCGGATGGACTTTCTGCTTTCTGGGACACAGCCATCAGGGGCAGCAGTGCCCTGAGAGCTGCTATGACGAGAAGCCTCATGGACGAGGCCTCTGCTACTGCAGGCAAGGCAACTGCGACTGTACTGCTGGACATAGCCAAGTTTTACGACTCCATCTCTTTCACCCTCCTGGTGGTAGCGGCGCGGGGGCTCAACTTCCCTCCCACGGTGCTGCTCATGGAGATACTGCTCTTCATGGCGCCGCGCATCCTCAAGGAGGGCTCGGTCATCAGCGAGCCGTTCTGCCCTGGCCGCTCGATTGTGGCTGGATCGTCGCATGGAGTCTGCCTTGGAAAAGTGTTCTTGCATTCTGTTCTGGAAGCTGCGCACGCTAGAGCCCCTCAGGCCTCGTTATGGACCTTTGTCGATGACACTGTGGCAAGATCTGAGGGCACCCAGGCCACTGTTGTTTCGGAGATGGAAGGTTTAGCTGAAGCTTTCTCGGAGGGATTCAGACTCAAGAGGCTCACGGTCTCGGACAAAACGGTTGTCTTGGCGTCCTCTCCTGAGCTTGGGAAGCGCATAGCCAGAATTTTCAGAGCCCGAGGGATGCCCGCTAAGTTTGCTTCTGTAGGAGTTGATTTAGGTGTTGACACTGCGGCAGGTCGCTTTCGGACCAGGAAGAAGGCACGCCAGAGAATGGCTAAAGCCAGTGGTCGTTTTTCTAGGATTGTGAAGATGCGCAGGCTGGCTGGTTTGAGGAAAGTCACCCAGGGCGCTTGGCGCACGGGAGCCTTACCACAGGCCAGCTTTGGCCATCAAGTTTATGGTATGCCACCGAGTCAGGTCTTGCTTCTGAGGCGACAAGCTGCTCGTACGGTCTCGGGAATGGGTAAGGGCAAATGTTTAACCACGGTTCTGCAGGCTGTGCTAGGGGATGGAGATCCCGCCCTGGAGCTGCGCCGCCAATTGGTGGACGCCTGGCTGCAGCTGTGGAAGCGCTTCCCTGCCCTCCAACCTCGTATTCGTCGGTCGTGGAGTATCGTTCGGTCGCAGCTCGATTCGCTTGGTGCCAAAAGGTGGAGAGGCATTCGGGGGCCCATAGCTGCAGTCCAGGCCACCCTTATTGAAGCAGGATGGGAGCCCAGGGAACCTGACCTGTGGGAACGACCTGAGCATGCGGAGCATGCGTGGAGGTTCCCACGAATGGGCGACCCAGACTTTGATTTACTCCCGATAACTGACCACGCAGACCTGTTGCATGAGTTCGTTTCTGACATGAAGGCCAAGTTGTGGCAAGGTGCTGCAGGGCACGAGGCAGGCGACAGTTTGAAAGAAGGAGCCGACCTCCTTCCACTGCAACAGGAACTCCGCCGTTTCGAGTCTCGGGGCCAGTCGGATCTTTGGGGCCTCACCTTGTGCGTGGCCTCAGGGGGCCAATGGCCACGTCAGCGTCAAGTCGACTGTGGCTACACGGTTGACGTTACTTGTCCAAGGTGCAAGGCGGCCCCTGAGACCTTGTTTCACAGAATATGGCAATGCGCGTGTAATGTAGATCACCAAGATTTTAGCAGCACGCAATCACTGGTTTCCCAGGCCACGGCGCAATGAGAAGCAGACCCTTCTTTATGGCTGAGAGGAGTTCCGTCGAGAGACCTCACCTGCCCCGTCTTCCTTGACCCCCTTGAGGCCCCTCCTCTTACGTACTACGGCTCCTCTCGCCTCAGTGAGTTTTGTGTTGCCCCTGGCCAGGACCCTCCTCACCTTTTTGGAGATGGGTCAGGGGGCAAATTCAGCAGTGACCCAAGACGCAGGCGATGTGGTTCTGGAGTTGCTCTCATTCGGAGAGCCGAGGATGGCTCCTGGGAGCCCGCCTCGGGAGTTTCGTCCCCCCTCCTGGGGCCGCGGCAGACTGTGTCGCGCGCGGAGATAGCTGCGCTCGCCATCGCTCTGGAAGAAACCACGGGACCCATCATTTATGTCACTGATTGCCAGCCAGTCCTGGATGGTTGGAGAGCGGGTCGTGCCCACGGCAAGTTAGGCCCGAATCAGGACGCGTGGTTCAGGGTGGCGGTGGCGTTGCGGAATCGGGGGGAGGCTGAAGTACAGGTCGTGTGGACGGCTGCCCATCTTGAGGACTCTGGCAAGGCTCTCAGTGCGAGGCAAGTCTTCCTCACTGCTGGCAACATGTGCGCGGATGAGCTGGCGGGGAGAGCGGCGGACGAGGCCTTGTCCCAATATACTCGTCAGCCTGCCCCCAGCACTGACATCTATGATTGCATCGCCCACCTTGTCAGGCGCAGGGCCAGACGTGCGTTGATCTGTTCACTCCAGGTTGACCCCTGGCAAGCTACCAGGCTCGCCAAAGTGCGGGTCCCCCCACCCTCCAGGAAGGCCGTTGCCCTGAGGGACACCTCTCATGATTGTGAGCAGGTTGGGAACAGGTGGCGTTGTAGAGTGTGCAGTCAGATTGTGGCCTCCACCCAGCTTCTCAAGTTTTGTGCCCAGTCTTGTCCAGGTCTGGCCCCTGAGGTCCGAGGCCAGAAGTCGGAGTGGAGCCAATTTGTTTTGAGAACTGGTGAGATTTTGATAGGGGCCACCTCGGCCCACTCGTCCCACAAAATCTTCTACTGGCCTGAGTTTTCCTTGCATTTTTTGTGTTTCTTGCGGGCTCACCGCCACTGTGGATGGTAGGTGGCTCGCAAGACCTTGCCAGGAGCCCTCCCCCAAAGGAGCCCAGAACCTTGACAGGATTCGTCGAGGCATTTTTCCCTCGCACAGGGGACCCCCGAAGGCTGTGCTGCTGGCCAGAGTGCGGCGGGAAGCTTCGGATGCGGTCCAGCGTGCGAGGGAGGCTCGGGAGGAGGGTAGTAGTCTGCTGGCTCACGGTGAGGGGGGTGTGGGCGGAGCGGCCCGTCGACCCACCAGGATCCCTCACCGTGACGGCGGGGACTCATCTTCGGATTAGTCCCCGCCCAACCCGTTTTGTTTTGTGGACGCTTGTCCTTTCATGGTCACTTCTGGTCACGTCGCCTCCTCCTCCTCCTCCTCCTCCTCCTCCTCCTCCTCCTCCTCCTCCTCCTCCTCCTCCTCCTCTCCCCCCTCTTCCTCTCTTCCTCCTCCTCCTCCTCCTCGTCCCTCCCTCCCTCCTCCCTTCTCCCAGCCCTGCCTCTGCCCTCCGCACGACCATTTCGGCTCACCACTCGCACTTTTCGTGATCTCATAGGAAGCTCCGCCCAAGGCCCCAGTGGCAGGGTTCGCATGTGGTTCCTCATCCATTTCGGCACGCCCTTCACACAGTTCGTTGCCCCAGAAGGAGCTCCGCCGAAGGCCCCAGCGGCAGTTTTCGCATGCTGCTCCGCCCACATGTCGGCACACCCCTCACTCGTTTCGTGGCCCGATAGAGGGTTCCACCGAAGGCCGCAGTGGCAGGGTTCGCATGCGGCTCCACCCTCATTTCGGCACACCCAGTACATGTTCCGTGGCCCCAGTGAGAGTTCCACCGAAGGCCTTGGTGGTAGGGTTAGCATGTGGTTCCACCCCAAGGTGGGCACACCCTTCACACATTTCGTGCCCCATAGGGAGCTCCACCGACGGCTTCAGTGGCAGGGTCCACATGCATTTCCGCGCCCATCTCGGCACACCCCTCACTCGTTTCGTGGCCACATAGTGAGTTCCACCGAAGGCCGTAGTTTCAGGGTTCGCATGCGTTTCCCCGCCCACGTCGGCACACCCCTCATTCGTTTCGGGGCACCATAGGGACCTCCACCGAGGGCTACAGTGGCAGGGTTAGCATGTGGTTCCCCGCCCATTTCGGCACACCACTCACAAGGTTCGTCGCACCATAAGGATCTCCACCGAATGCCCCAGTTGCAGGGTTCGCATGGGACCTTGATCTCGGCACACACGTCACATGTCTCGTGGTCCCACAGGGGGCTCCACCGAAGACGATGTTTTGAACTGCGGTACTCACAACTGCATGTGGTCCAGGCCTTTCGCCTGGACATGTGTTGTTCTCGGGGGGGGGGGGTACCTGCGGAGGCCTCGAGAGACTTATGGAAACCGCCAGAGGCCTCCGAAGGAGGATTACCTCCTTCCTCTTCCGAGAGCAGAGGATGGAATTGGGTGGGCAGGGAGAGGAAGAGGAGGGGGGAGAAGGGAGGGATATTCGTGCTGTTGCGCGTAGGTCTTCGCCAGACAGGGGAAGGTTTTCGCTTTTGATGGTTGCTGGTCCTCCGCTGGCAAGTCGATCGCCGTCGGAGGGCTGGCAAACGTTGCTATCCGCAGATCAGGGCACCTTCCAGGAGACATGTCGCGCGTTCGTTCGTCCTTCCCTCCTCGAGGAGCCTGGCGAGTACGCGGAGTGCCTGGAGTGCAGCCCGACCGGCAGGTAACCCCAGGGCGCGGGCGCGGCGCGCTCAGCGCCGTTCGGCCCCTTCCCTCCCTCCCTCTTCCCCTTCCGCTCCCATCCTTGCCCTCTCAAGTTTCCTTCCACCCCGCCCTCCACTCCGCCCGCCGCTCTTCGCCCTTCGCCCTCCTTCTTTTCCGCCTCCTGCTCTCTTTTCCCACTCCTCCCCGTCTCCTTCGACCCTCTCCTTCCCCCCTTGGAGGGCCGCCTCCCCCGGAGTGCTTCCAAAGGGAGGGGGGGAACAGATGTCCCACAACGGCAAAAAGTTTACACATCCCTCGAACATCGATCCTCTCCCTTTCTCCCTGTCCGCTCCTGTAGGGTTGCGGCCCGCGGCTCGCGGCTCCCGCGACTGGTCGGCGCTACCCGCTGTCGTCGCCGCCATTCGATTTGCCGACCGCGCGCCCCGAGAAGGGAGCGGCAGTCAGACCGCAGCAGCAGGGACCCTCTTTCTGGATGGCGGATGATGGCTGGAAGAGCAAGCATCGCGGGTGGAGATTCTCAAACGCTCTTGCCCTTTTTCGTGGCCGCAGAACTCTTTGAGATTATGGGCCGGGTTCCTGGAGGGCTCTCAGCGGCTTTGGGGTCTCTCGGGAGGGCCTGGGAGGTTCTTGGAGCTAAATGGGCCAGACGAGCTGAGGAGACTTTCTCAGCGTACGGCAATAACTCTTCTGGGAGGGCTCAGGCCGAACTGAAAGGAACATGACCCGAGGAAGTTGACCCTCCAGGGGCGCCCGAGACGACCTGGGCACGAAGCTTCTAGGCTGTTCCAGGGCCAGGGGTCTTGCGCGTTTCCAACTCCTCGGTATGTGTATTCATCATGTTTTGTCAAGTTCCAGGGCGAATGTGGCCAACATGAGCCATTACTGCCGATTTGCCAAGTTGCTAAGAGTGCAGCTGTGTTGATAAGAGGTGCTATATCCCCCACGGCGGCATCTGCGGAGGCCGTCCCCTCAGTTCTTAGAAGCGGCCGGCCTGCGGCAGTCTCGCTGCGTGCTTCCCGTTGTGAGCTCGCGCTCCCGCGCGCGCGCACTCTGTATCATCGAGAACAAAAGAACCCCTAGCCCCGATAACATGATGAAGACGTGGCCTCACTGAGGTCCCCGTCTTCGCATTAGGGACGGTACATTTGGGGGGGTCAGTCTGATACATCTCGGCAGAAGAGACCCCCATCCCTGATGGTCTTGGCCCTCCCAGCTCTGGTCCTCTGCCTACGGGTTAGGGGTCCTTTTGTTGCTTGTCCCCTGTACGCCGTAGAGTGTCTCACCCTCGCACGAAGCTGTGCGTGTTTTGCCGCATCCTTCTCGGCACTTCCTTGGCCGCGAGCGGCCTCCGACGGTCTCACTGCTGCCCTCCCCGCGCCTCGCTCCCTCCTCGCCCTCCTTCCCTCGTCCCACCCTCCACGCCCCGCCTCCGCCGCTCCATCCTGCCCTCCTCCCGCCTCCCCCCCTCCTGTCTCTCCGCACTTCTCCCAGCCTCCCCCCTCTCCGGCCTCTCCCCCTTTCCCCCCCCCTCCCCCCCCCTCCTACGCGTCTGCTCTCAACCTCCCTCCCCTCCAGCCCCTCCCCTCGCTTTCCTTCATCTGGCCCCATCTCCTCCAGCCAGCACCATCCAGCCTTTCCCGCCCCACTGCCCCCCATCTGTCCTGCCGCCGCCCTCCAGCCCCCCTTTTAAACAACCTTCTTGACTCCCCCTTTGCGCACCATCAGAGCCCTCCCTTCCGCCCCCCCCGACGATCTTCTTCCCTTCGTCAGTTGAGCAGTGAGAGCGAGTCAGCCCAGTCCAGCAGAGAAGAAGCTTCGATCTGCCTCCCGCTCGTTCTCACCCACCTCGGTCCCGTGGCCCCTGCTGGCGCGGCCAGCCTGCTCGGAGAGCGCTCGCCCCGCAGGCCGCCCCACACATGTTCATTTAAAGTGGGCACCTTCTCGACACGAGTTAAGGGAGAGCTGCAGCGCTACCCGCGACAGAAGCGAATTCACCCATGTGGGTATGACGCGCGTATTGGTTGTAGTTTATTATACCCCCCCCGGGCAATTTACACGTAAGGTTTTTGCCGGCAGCTGCCGCGAGCCCCACGCTCGGTTCATATTGCAAGCCGCCGCACAGGAGATCACGGCAGAGACGATGAACGGGTCGAGCGACGTTGACGAGGACGACGATCGGGTGAATGAGCGACGAGTAGACGAGGAAAACAAACGAAGGGGAGGACGGACAAACTGAGCATCGCGAAACTGAAATTTAGGAAACCGACATCGCCGCGAAACTGTAACCTCCCAGTACAATCGCAACCCGGAAAACACACAAGAGACGAAACCGAAACCTTTGAACGAGACCGAGTCCTCATCTGCCCGGAATAATTCCAAACCCAATGTGGACGGTCGGAAAATGTTGAAGACGGAATTCTTATTCTTTGTTGTCTTGATGTTGGAAAAAAACCAACATCGAATAGACAGTACAGTCGGAGGATGCCGGAATCGGATGGACGACGGAAGTGGAAGCCAGAGCCGAAAAATGGTAAGGGAATAGGTCAGAAACCAGAGACCAAACGTTGCCCAAAACACAGTGGTTGGAGCCAGAAGCAGACGAATGATTAGAATACGTGATTTTTTCAGGCTTATTTTGGGCGTGGGATTTTCATGGGCGCTCGGGTTTGCCGGCACAGCCATTTTCGAATATTACCCAAAGCGATATTTGAACATGTCAAACGTTGTGTTCTACATTTATTATTATTATTTGGTTCCCTCAGTGCTAGGAGCACCGTATTTGGATACCTTACCGTTCTTGGTGCTGAGGATGCTGTCGGGCGTGATGTGATTCGGAGATGGTGTTGCCGTAATTTGGGAAATGGTGTAATAATGATATTTGGTTTTGTCGTTCTTCGAGCTGGCATTGTCATGATCAGAAATGTATTTTCTTCTGTTGTTTCTGTAGTCGGAACTATCGGATTTGATTTTGCCATGATCGAAGGTGGCGTTGCTGTACCTGCAATCGAAATTAGTACTGCTGAAACCGTCGTAGTCGGAATTATTGTTGCCGTAGCCGTAATGGGAAAGGAGCGTTGGTGCCGATGTTGTCGAAGATAATGCCGGAAAATGAATTGGCATGGGAACCAAGGGTATCGAAGTGTCGTCAACCGCAAGAGGTCCATAGTACGCGTAAGGTTTGTTTATCGTGCACGGGTACATTTCTATTAAAGCCATCGGTAGGTATTTTGTGAGTAAGTACCTTTGAAGCAAGCGGTAAGGTGCCTTGATATCCATATTTGTTGTTCCCCGGCGATGCTGGGAAATGCGTGGTGCGCAACCATTTTTCCATGCTTTTGATAGGGACAATTTCTTACTTCCGAGAATATGCTGGTACATGGTGTTTGCCGTGCCTCCCGGGAGGTCGATGCGTTTCGTCGATCGACAAGTTCCGTACCTTCCATCCATTCCATATGATCGCGTATATCAAAATCACAAAAAAATGTTCCATGAAATCAAAATTTATCTCAATCAAATTTTCTATATTTTGTTTTACACACCCGTGTTTTGTCTGTCCCGCATAGTGCCCGCGAAAAACTTATTTGCAACAAATTCATTGAGGTTATTTTCCACGCCGTCCCCAATCAAATCCCACCAGCTTTGGGCTCAAGTTATATATAATAATCTCTTTTCTCGTTCTTGCTTTGAAGCCCCTCTCCTTACTTCATCCCGTAGGCCCAGAACGGGAAGGTACCAACGCATTGGAGCGATTCAATAGCACAACATTGCTCCAAGAGGGTGTCGAAATCGTATGATGATCTCGAAAATGATCCGTTCTACGTCAAGATGGGTCTGAATAGCCTCCCACATATTCCGAAAAGGCCCGAAGGCAGCCCTAAGACGGATCGAAATGCATTTCGAACCCTGCACAACGACGTCCAACATTTCAAAGCCGGTCAAAAGCATATGGAAAACCAATACATGTTGGCATTATCGGTTTTCCTCTTCTGATTGGCTTCGGAAGCATTAAGCTGATCGTAATATGGGCTGGGAAAGGCCCAAGACAGGCCGAATAATGGCGAAAACAACCAAAAACGCCCAAAAACTCTCCCAAAAGGTTCCAAAATGATGTGTGACAGCCTCCGAAGGGGACGGCCGAATTTGTCCCCCCTCTTTTTGAGCTGAGTGATGGTGCCCACGACGGCCTCAAAAAAAACTTCCAATCTTCATCCAAAAAGCACCCCTCGCCCTGCCCTGTTTGGCCTAATACGGTTCCAACGAGCTTCAGATAGGCATATATGGTTTTCAAAATGGCCTAAGTTAAAACCATGGTTCAAAAGATCGTCCAACAAATTTCCAAGAAACTTCAAGGCAACCTCAAAATTGCCTAAGATAACCGAGCATGGCTCAAAATACTCTCCGACAGCCAATAGCCGAGCATAGTTCAAGATAACCGCGAAAGAAGTTTCACGAAAATTGACAATTAATTCTGGAATTGTTGACGCTTCGCGTATCCCCACCAGCCCATCCGGAAACCATGCCCAGGGGAGTTGAGGTGATCAGGGAAGTCGGGGAGCATGCAGAATAACAAAGGGCGGGGAACTGTCACATACCCCGAGAGGGGGAGGATGGAAGAAGAATCGTCGTCGGAGGAAGAGGAGGAGGAGGAAGGGGACGAGGAGGAGGAGGAGGAGGATGATAATGAATAATGAAAAAAGAAAAGACAGAAAAAAAGAAAAGAGAAAAAAAAATGAGACATGATATGGAGTAAGAGTATAGAGGACGAGGATTACGAAAAGGAGGAGAAGGAGCAGAGGTACAAAAAAAAAAGGAGAAAAAAAAAAAAAAAAATAAAAAAGAAAAAAACAAAAAAAGAACAAAAACAAAAAAAAAGCATAAATAAAAAAGAACACAGATAGAAAAAAAAACTAAAAAGAAAAAAAAAAAATAAAAAAAAAAAGAGAAACAGAAAAAAAGGGGAGGAGAAGGAATAAGAAAACAAAAAAAAAAAGGAGAGAAAAACAAAAGGGTAGAGGAAGAGGTGGATGAGAAATTGAAGAGGACGGCGAACCGAAGAGACAGAAGCGTCTTAAATGCATTTTGGAGATCCTCATGAGGCTTCTTAGGGTTCTCTGGGAAGCCTCTTGGAGGTCTCTTGGGCGCTTCTTGGGGCCTCTTGGAACCATCTTGGGGCGGTCTTGGGGCCTCTTGGAACCATCTGAGGAACCATCTCGAGCGATCTTGCGCTATCTTGAGCCATCTTGGAGCTCATCTTGGGCTCTCCGAGGCGTCCTGAGCGCGTCTTGGGGCGCTCTTGGAGCGCTATGGGGAGCCTTCGGGGCGCTTTTGGGGCCATCTTAGAGGGAGTCGATCAAACAAGAGGGGGGGGTGAATTAGCGTCCCCCCCCCAGGAGGCCAAAATGGGGCCAAAACCTTAGTAAAATCAATGATTTTGGCTTCCTCGCCGAGGCCGTTTTGGACGCTCTAACTACCCGCGGCCCCCCCCGTCCAGGTCCAGGGGAGGGGGTAGGGGGAGGGGTAAACCCCTCCCCAAGGGGGAAGAGGGAGGGGTGGAAGAGGATCTGTTCTAGACCACCTACACCCAGAGGGCTGGTGGGATTCCACCAGCCCTTTGGGCGTGAGTGGTTTAGAGAGCCCGCTCTGTTGTCAACCCCCTTCTTCCCCTTCGGAGAGGGGTTTACCTCCCTGCCCATCCCCCTGGACCTGGAGAGGTTCTTTCGCGGGTGGTTGGAAGGTTTTTTTTCGACTCCTGGGAAAGCTCAACAACGACACCCCTCACGAGGATTCTGGCCCCGACGGGGCGGGTGAGAAGAAACCCGTTCTTCTTTGAAACCAAAATCATTGATTTTACTACGGTTCCGGCCTTATTTTGGCCTTCTGAGGGGGCAGCGCTAATTAAAGCTTACCTCTTCACTCAAGCCAAAATCATTTAATTTATTAAGGTTTTGGCCTTCTGCAGGGGGCAGCGCTAATTAAAGCTCCCCTCTTCGTTGATCGATTTTCTCCAAGATGGCCCCAAGAAGCGCCCAGGAGGCACCAAGATGCACTAAAATTGCCCAAGGTGGCCCCAAGAGGCCCCCAGGAGGCCCCCAAGAGGATCCCAAACGGCCCAAAGAAGTCCACCCAAGGCACCCAAGCCGCCGAAAAGCCTATCAGGACAACCCTCTTCTCGCTTGGACGTCGTTTCTGGACGGGCAGGAGGAGGGGCCCGAACGACTCAGCCCGAACAACTCACACCACGAGAAGCCCGAACGACTCACACCAAGACGAAGAGCCCGAACGACTCACACCACGAGCCCGAACGACTCACACCAAGAAAAAGGGCCCGAACGAATCACACCAAGACGAGAAGCCCGAACGACTCAAACCACGAGGAACGCTTTCTCTCCCTCCTCCTCCGCCTCGTCCTTCTCCCGCTCCCACCACAAGGAGGATGTACAAGGAGGCGGGAGGAAAGAGGAACAAAGGAAATATGCGGGGGCAAGCGGAAACACGCCTGAAAAACACAACTGTCGGCATGAATTGCTGTTTTGAGATGGGCTGGTGCGGATACGTGAAGCGTGAAGAAGTCCAATTGCCACCGTCTTCGTCCCTTTCTTCCAATATTGTTCCCCGTACGATATTACGCACCTGCTCCCCGTCTTGCTCCTCATATGTGGTTTGGGTCGATCCTTTTGCATTGCTATTCCTGTTGGTAATGGTGCTACTACTTCCAACCATTTCTTTACTTTCTTGTCGTATCCCTGCCGCTGGTGCCATCATCCAACGAAAGATACATATATAATACATTTCGGAAATGAATTTCATATTTATTTCACACAGGTATTTTATCAGATTTCCATGAGTTCGTACTTTACAACGAAAAGACCACGCTTCAATCCGCATGTCGTGTATCCTCCGTGAATAGGTTGGCGTTTGAAATGTTCTG